AAAAAGAAAAATAAGTTAATAATAATGTACTATACATAAGACAATCGGTTAGAAATTTCAAAGTTGACCATGAAGAAAATTTGTACAAAAGTTGTCTTGGGTACTTCTATGCCACTCATGCTTCTGTTGTGATTGCATGGCTATGTTTCGTTTCGATGGGCGAGATGACAAGATACGGAGACAAAAGATCATAGTTTTTTTTTATTCAACTTAGAATGGCAAACAAGATGACGGCTCACCTGATGGAAAGTGGTAACCGTCGCCTATAGACATGAGTAGTACCATGGACCTAACAGAATATACTGTTTCGCTCATGATATGCTTTGCCATTCCTGAGGACTCGGGTGTTAATACTCTGTACCCTGTAAATCCATTGCCATATCCAACCCTTCAAACCGAAACACAACCATGCAAACACGACTACTTCAGGCAGACGGGACAGAGGTGCCTGCAAACGACTTATGTACAAAATCTCCCTCTGGTCATAGTCCTGAAGAGTTACAATACATGAGGGGTTTTTTTTAATAAATGATTCAGCAGTGAACAGCTAATGGTTGAAATGATGAATCTGTAAGTATGTATACAGTTTCAGATAAAAAAATAATTTTCTATAACGTTTTAGAACTGACAGAGTTATGAAGAAACGAACATAAAAAAATACGGCCGAATGGACCTTCTTCTTTTTAAAGTCGGTTAAAACTACCTACGTTACTTTAAATATCTACTTAGTACATGTATATGCGTAAATAATTGTTTCCTCATGTTAAATAACGCATAAACTATCGTTCATATCATAATTTACCATAGAACAATGGGATTCTCAACAATTCATTCGACTTATTTTAATGCTGGCCGACCTCATTTAGATTTGGGCGCAATGATACGTCACACACATAAGTCGAAATTACTTTTACATTATGTTGTTAGATCAGCATTTTGTTGAACGTTGTAGATGGCCATGCGGTAGATGCAATAATTTGTTTTAAAGACATGTGTCGCTACGTTACGCTTAGAAAACTTTTTATGGTGGCGATTAGTTTTTTTTTGGAAAAAAAATTCAGTCGCAATAGTACAGACAATGATTTTGAATTTGATCAGCATAAGTAAAAAATAAAAAAAAATTAAAAATTTTACAGAAATAGGTGTTATCTTGCTGAAGTCTATTTCAACATTAATTTAAATATTAAGGAATGTAATACAATTGAATTTATTCAGTCGATTAGTTTAAATAGTAACAATTGGATATCAGATGTAAAACAACAAAAATGTTTTTTTTTATACCACGGAGGTGGCAAACAAGCATACGGCTCACCTGATGGTAAGTGGTTACCGTAGCCTATGAATACCTGCAATACCAGAGGTATTACGCGTGCGTTGCCGACCCTGAAGAAACCTCTTTACCCCCCTTTTGAAAATGAAGATGTACTAATAAAAATAAAGAAATCAATAAGTAGGATATGTCTTAAATATAACGATAATACGTACAAATCTGCACTCTTTCAATCCGACATAAGATCCCTAACAGAGTAAAAACACGATTCAACTAGCCATTCATGGAATTTTTTTTTAAATGTTACTCCAGAGATGGTTCTTATATTATCTGGAAGATTATTAAAAATTCTCACTGCCATATTATATGGACTTTTTGGCGTTAACGTTAATTTTATTGTGGGTAATTTTATTTTATTTACGGGTCTGTTGCGTAATGATTTTATTGTAGTTGTCTGTTTCAGTGGAAAGTATTCTGGATGTTCTTTAACAAAAATACAATATTGTTTTATATATATACATGCTACAGTTAGAATATTATTTTTTATAAATAATGGACGACAGGATTCCAGGAAATCAGCGTCAAATACAGATCGTAAGCATTTCTTTTGTGCTTTAAACACTCTATCGATATCTGTACAGTTTCCCCATAGTATTAAACCATACTGTATGACTAATGCAACATGTGCATGGTAAGCAAGTAATGCACAATCGATTTATTTATATACGTAAAGAAAAAAAACAAAATTTATTTCTGAAATGCTCGACGATGACGGTCGAGTCATGACGAGTGTATAACGTAGTAATTACTTGTTCTGTGATCAAGTGTTACATTTACTACAACAGCACAACGGTGGACAAATGCCTTTGACTACACTATTAAGGATTATAGTCGTGATTATTATTATGTTTTTTTTACAAAATTAATTTATTTAGTTCTCCATTTGCGCTATCGATGTAAAAAACGCCTAAATGTAGATGCTTCTCAAGAGATAAGTGTTTCACAAAATATTCATAAGAGGTAAATACGTACCTAACTACCTACATATATCTAAGCATAAAGATGCGACCACTAAGTGTATTATAATGAAGTTAATTTTATTGTTTCTGTTTTCACATGACATTTGGGAAATGTCGTTTCGTTTTGATGTGTGACGGAGGTCATACGGTAAGTTGCATGTCAACAAATCGTTGAGCACATTAAAATGTATAATATCTATCTAATGTTCCAGTTACTAATGTACTTTTTAACCGACAATCGAAAAATGAATAGTGATGATTTTTGGTGTATTTAAGCATATATGTGCGGTTCTTTGACTCATTGTGTAACCTAGAATGAGATGAAAATAGAATAGTAATGAAGTCTGTGCTATCAGTATACGCTAGCGGAGTATCAATGAGTGGTAATGCGTGAGGATGAAGTTAGATCAATTAGCCCATTGTGACAATTTATCAAGAACTAACCACAACGGTTTCTAGGAGGAACCATTTTATGTTCGAACTGTCAGGATATATTTTTAGCCGTGGGACCTGTGGGCTTCGTGAAATATTAATAATTCTCTCTTCCTGGAATGGATTGTTGATAAGATGTATTTTCGTGATCATAATACCGATAAATTCATCACGATCTTATTCTTGCATTTCATATCTAGGCGAAGAGGGGGAAAGGGATTGTTAGTACTATTGCCTAATAGCCCCATTGCTAGCAATATATTTAATTATTATTGACTATATTACAAAAAATGTCTGGTACAAAATGCGGATTTAATAGTATATAGCATTCTCTTCCAGTCAACCTTTGGCAAAACAGAAATGTAATTGAAAAAAATGCGGTAAAAATTTGAAAATTGTTGTAGACAAACAACTACACGTACGTATCCATATTGACTTATAAATCATAACACATATAATGAAAAACTACGCGTAGGTAGACGTCCACGCGGTTCCCCCTGAAAACCGTCATAATTAAATCTTGCGAAATTTGTCAAGAGGGGCTAACTGACATACTAACATATTCACTTGTCATCTCTCACTGGTGCCCCGCCAGCAAATATCGTAGGTAGGGTTACTATTCCATTTTCAACCATTAACAAAAATAACAATAAAAACCTAGGCAAGAGTTATCGATATATCGATTAACATGCATTTAAAAAATACTTCATAGATTTTTATATATGTGTAATGTGTCGTAATATTTATAGTTTAATGTTTGTAGGAACATTCTATATTCTATGTCAGCAATAAATAATATAACTTATCACTATAATTGACAGGATATCACCAATAAATAAAGGATTAGAATAAGATTTAAAGTGACATCTATTGAATAATGATGTAACTACAAATTTCAACAAGATGTAACAACTTAATCGCCATAATTTGTATAAGTAAAGAATTACATTAGGCAGAGCTTTTAAAGCAATAGAAAGTTTGTATAACTGACGAGAGATGGCGGTATTAATTAAAAATATGTATATTATAAAATTCTTATGGGTATCCAACAGTGAGATATTAGCCTATTTTAAAATATAAACAGTCGTAATCGTAATATCGTTTATATTATATTACACAGACTGTATGTTTGTTGGCCACCTTCTTGGTATAAAAAAATAATATTAGAGAGGGACGTGGTCGTATAACCCCTTAAAGATCTCAAAGCTCGTAAGTTCAAATCTTTCCCGAACTGAAGCTGTGTATTAATTTAAATTGTCGACTAATTCTCCGATGATGATAAATATTGTCAACAAACGACAAACGGCAGTACGCTCATCCACTGGGGGGAAAGGGATTGTTAGTAATGGAGACTGAGGATCCCATTGCTAATAATATACCCAACCAGGTCGACCTTCTCGCGGTTCTCCCTGGAAACTATCATGGTTAATTCCTGATGAATTCATCATGATGGGCTAACTGACCTGTTTTCATTCTCATCTATCACCCTTCACTGGTGCTCCGCCAGCGTATCCCGTTAGCGCAGGCGGGGTTACCATACCAATTTCACCCATCAAAAAAAAGTACGCTCATCCACTATCACCACCCCATGTTGGATTCAAACTTATAGATGAAGGACTTTCAGCTGCCTTAAAAGATAATATGGTAGCAGATTAATATTAAGCAGGTAGGTACTTAGGTATCTAAATATTAATTCTGTTATCTATACTAATACAATAGAGCGGAAGAGTTTGTTTATTTGAACGCGTTAATCTCTGGAACTATCAGTGAGATTTGGAATATTATTTATGCATTTGATAACTTATTTCTTGAAGCTTTAGGCTATATGACAGCACAATACGTACACGAGCAAAATCACAGGATACAGCTATATTTATACGTAGTTGAAGTGTATTATTAAAGTGCCCAATCTATGGATTCCATACGATGGAAAGATGAGGTGGTAAATAAAGTTACGTGGTCATAGAAACAGTGGTATCAGTGGCGAGTTGTTCTTTATGTTAGTCCATGGGGTATGCCTACACTATGATTACACTATTATTCCTAGTAAATTCACTTCACTCTGTTATGTACCAACTGACCTAACTTCATCCTCACTCACCTTTCAGTGGTACCTCGCATGTATATACAAATAATAAGGCATCTTCTAAAATAAAATACGTCCGCCTAAAACATGTCACACGTTATCAATCATTTTCAAGATAAAAAAGCTTTCATGGTAATGGACTACTGCAACCGTGATAACTTGAGTATCTGTCGATATGATCTCGCGCAGTTCAAAAGATAAACGTTCAGTCAGTGCTCGTATACAAGTGTCCTCATCTACAAATGTTTCCGCTTGTTCATTATGGACGATGATTACTGGCTCAATGTAAGCATTTATAGATTTTGTTTCATACTTTCTGTATTTATCTACAATTTTGGCATATCTCTGATTCGATACATGGTATATCATATTGCAAATAACGATTCAGTGTTATAATTAACTTATATTGATTTTTGTGCAGTTGTAATAACTTAGTTTTATTTCAGTAATGGTTAAAATTTGAGATTGATTTCATGACTGTAGATTTAAGTTTATTTTAATATCAGAAGACGATTACAGGGCATTGGAAGATAACAAATCTTTTCATTTCAGTATTTCTTCAAATTAAGATTTAGATTAGAGCATATTTTCAAAAAAATTACGATTAGAATAAACTTTTAATGAATTTTAACTATTTATAAAACGTAAAATTTCTCTCATCAGTTATTAATGATTTGGGAGTACGCTATCATAAAGTTTATTCTAAAATGTAAATTTTTAAAATTATAGACAACTATTGGTGACTTCCAGAGAACAAGATATATTAGAAGCCTAACTACCTAAGCAGACTAATTATTCAATTATGAAATATGTTTTAGCTTGACACATCGAAGTATAATTTTCCCAATACATTATGGCACATAAAACCACCAAAAGAGATCGCCATCAAAGTATCAGCTATGTTAATTATTGGAGTTACTGGAATAATCCTCAACTCAATCATCCTGCTCATACTATTTAAAAATAGATGGCTATGGTGTCCCAGTAACTATCTCATCGGTAACCTCGCATTGGTCGATCTGATTACACTTTTATTATGTCCATGGTTCATGCTTGTGAGGGACTTTTATCAGCAATATGTTTTGAAGCATTTTGGATGTTATTTCGAAGGTTTCCTTCAAGGTAAGATGTCTACCTTTAATTAAATATAGTATTATCTAATATAATTTAAGAGATTATTATCATCATCCTCATTTCAGTCATTATCCGTCCACTGCTGGACATACGTATGGACATACATGTCTCCCCCATAGACTGCCATAAAGAACGGTCCTGAGCCACCTGCATTCACTGACTCCCTGCAATGCATTTCAGGTCCTCACTTAATCTAGTGGGGGTCGTCCTACACTGCGTTTACCCGTACGCGGTAGCCACTCAAGAACCCTTCTTCGCTTTAAAGATTAGAATTTGTTAAATTACAGGAAATTAATTAAAGAATGATACTCAAAAGCTTCATTGGCGACATCTTCTCAGTAAGGTTTTTAAAATCTTTCTGTTTCTCACCTCCTTTTTCTTTTCTATTAGCTTGTCTTTTCTCAAGGAAAATTATTCTACCACCCGTCACGTCCATTGCGATTAGAAGCAATTTGTAAAATAATCACGCTTCATTAACTTTGAAGATGGTAGTGTCTAAAAAATGTACGTTGTCTCTTTCAGCTTCACTCCTTTTAACTGGAGTAGGAGCAATAATGTTAGTATCATACGATAGATTAGCGGCTGCTGCCTTAACTCCAGATGCTCGAGTCACTAAATCAGCTGCATTAAAACTGATAGCAACTTCATGGATAGCCGCAATGTTAATGTCGTTACCATGGATCCTCAAGAGAGATTATGTGGTTAGTTATTAATGAATTAAGTTCAATTTGATTTATAACATATACTGCTTGATTATATACAGAGCTTCTGAGATAAATCAAGCAATAAATTTTTTATCTATTTAGATTACTGTTACCTTAAATAGACGGAAGAAAACTTTTAGTTTACCAATAATAGTGGCATTTAGTTTAGTTACAAGAAGTCAAAGACTCTTCTTAGATGAGAAGCTACAATTTTTGAGAGGAAGTGTTTACTTAAATAAATGATTATTTTTTTATTATTTATGAAAGTAAATGGATTTTCAAGGAACGTCAATGGAAGAATTATCTTGAAACATTTTGCGCAGAGGACGATAAAGTACTACCAATATACTGGCACTTCACTCTTTTAGTACTGGTTTGGATACCATTAGGTTTGATGGTCCTAACTGTAAGTATTGAAATATTATTTTTTCTATTTACCATAACTTTTTTTGTTTTATTTATATTATTTTTTAATACTATTTTATATAATTAAAATTATGTTTCTAAAAAAACCGACTTTAATTGCAAAACCTGTTATTTTGATTTAAAGACAACTGAACTAAATTTGACAATATTTCTATGGAATCAATCTAAATTCTATAGAAACATTGATTGAGTATATTATACCGGAGGGAGACTTTGTACAAAAGTCGTTTGCTTGGGTAACTCTATCCCATTCGCGTTTCTACCGTGAAGCAGCATGACTGTGTTTCGGTTTGAAGTATGGGGTATGGCAGTGAATTTACAGAGTATAGAGAAATAACATCTGACTCCTCAGGAATGGCAACAAATGGGGGGTATCTTGGGCGAAACAGTATACTCTTTTATGTCCATGGTTTTGCTCATGTCTACACGACGGTTACCACTACCGTCAGCTTGTTTGCCATTCTAAGGTGCATAAAAAATATATACTATATTACTTATATATAAGTGATTTTAATTGTGTATCTGTAAGTTTGTTTACAAGCATAACATTACAGTTTGTAAGAAAGAAAACTAAACGAAATAGTACTGGTCATCTCCATCATAGATTTTGTATTTAGTATGGTGCAATCATGTGGCGTTTAGAATGGAGTGCCAGGAAATTATCATTGAAAGGCACTGGGCTGGCCGTAGCGAAGGCTAAAACAAGTGCTATGAGGATTGCAGCATGCGTCCTCCTGACCAGCGTCATTTGCAGAATACCTTACACTATCCTCATGTATTGGAGGAATCGTTTGAGCAATGAAGTTAACTCTGTAAGTACTATAGCAATATTTCGAATATTTCCTCATTATCATTTATTATTTCTGATAATTAATCGTACTAATATTATAATTATTTTTTCTCAAACATGCTTGGAAATGTGAGCATTATTATGATAATCTTCTTCGAGATAAATCAAAATTACCGTACTTACCAGATATATGCGGGCAGCGGCCGGCAAAAGTTGTATGAAAATCCATATCTGTCGTGTTTTGCGGCCAGATAAATTATTATGTAAACTCATACCTGTCCTGTAATTTAAAAATGAAATGACCTTTTACTTCCAAAATATTACAAAATTTCAACTGTGGTTGCTAAGCTGCCTGTCAAGCGTGGCATTTACTGGCATAATCCTCCAAGAAGGAGGCCTATGTTCAACAGTGGACAGTACGGTTGATATCACCATTATATATACATACATAAATGCTTTTTATGTACAATTTGCAATAGACTATTTCAAAGTACTCAACATAATTCGTAGTTCGAACGAATTGTTTAGTTGATCAAGAAAGATTAGGTAAAAAAACTAAATTCATATATATATATATATATATATATATATATATATATATATATATATATATATATATATATATATTTACATATCTCTAATCTGAATTGAAATTAGGAAAAAAATTTGAATTAGAAAAACATTACAATAGTAAAAAAAAAAAACAGAACTTCAATTCTATTAATGTATACATTGTTCACCTGACTCTAAACATTTTTGCCATAGGTGGAAGGTAGTTATGATGCTATGTGGTTTGCCGCTAACTATCTTATTTATATGAACTGTGCTGTGAACCCATTGATTTACGGGTTTACTAACAGACGATTCAGAAAAGCAATGGACAGAACTCCCGGTGTCGCTTGGTGCAAGTTTGGCTCTTGGTGCTGTGTTTGTCCTGTGGTAAGACTCTACTATAATTTGTTGAAAAGGCCAAATGCCCTTAATTGTGGTCATCGTTTTAATCCTTATACACTGGTGAACCTAAAATAGAATTACATGTAATCATCTATAAACGAACATTTCCAAGCTATATCCATAGCATTCAAAGTTGTTGCTTCATCAAGTTGATATTTTATAGCCAATCATCCTAAACTATATTTGTCTTTGATTTATATTTGACAGACCTAATTTCTTATATTATCTATTCGAGCTATAAAGTTGGCCCATTGCCACTTAATATTACTGATTCCACTTCGGTTTGGTACTTTTGCAAACCTTTTCATTAGAAGTGGGTAAAATACAGCAGTACCTATATAATGTAATATCTATATAATAGTCCAATAACGGATATATTAAATAGCGGTTTTCCAATATACAATATCGAAATGAAGCACCCAGTTGAAATAAATGTATAGATATCCGACTGATATGGGCGATGTCCAATGGAATATCCAATATATAGATATTAGGTTGGTACAGATGTTACCCATGCCTACTTCTCATTTCCGATGATACATATGAAACTTCGTACATTGTTACTTTCATGAGAAAATAGTATAATTAAATGGAATAAAAATAAAATCATATAACTTGTGTCTGCATGCCAGATGTTTACTATTTCTAATAATGTTAATTATACCTATATATTTCAATTTACAGTATACCAGAAAACGTATACTTGAAGTGGACAAAAATACTGAAAAAGTGTTTGTAATAGAAGACACGCCACGACCAAACAGGAAACTCGCACACGTGATCAAGAACATACTTCACATAAATAAGGAAACTTTAGATTTTAGCGTTAAAATAGACGAAGTCACAACAAAACCAACTAAAGTTACTCCTTTGAAACTTGACCAGCTATAAAATGAATGTTATTCACAAGTATATTAATAAGCCATAGTCGCCAACTACGAGAAAATAGTAAAACTTTATTAAATTATTGTTGATTATTATTAAACATCAAACAATACAATCAACGACAAATAAATACTTATTCAACTTACTCAGTTTATTTTTAATTATTATATTACATGTCTTTTAAAACTATTTTTCGTATAATTGTACATAATTATACATTAATACTGTTATAAATCATATATCTAATTAACATAATGTCTTAATTTGTTTATTTTTTAGTAGATAATAGACAATGCAAATATAATTTGTAAAATGTAAAAAAAAAATGTTATAATATAAATAAATTCATGAATCTAGATAGATTAAACATAACATTAGGCATCGGAAATTCCATTTTCTTCCGCGTCTAACTGAGAAGACAGCTCCTGAATTTTAACTTCTAACGCAGTTCTCATGTCGGGTTCGACTTTTAAAATATTTGTGGCTTCTTGAAGCAACACCATGCTCTCCATTAGTTGATCCTGTTTACAAAGAAAAGTAATATTCTTTATTAGTTATTTTTAATATTTCTCTAGTTATCATAGAAATCTAAAAACAGTTTTAATTTATTTGTAATTAACTATTTTCCGTTATTTCAGGTACCAAGCAAACAAAAACGTTTTTCAGGAGATCAAAACACAAAAAAATTAAAATTAAGAAATATGAAGACCTATTTTTAGGCGACTAAAAAGTTCTTTAAAGTTAAAGACGCCTAAAAATCGTTGTTTTTTATAAGGTTCTTTATACAATGATATGTTTTTTTTAACTCTGATATTGCTTTCGACAGCGTTTACTTCCTTGTTATGTAATAATATTATAATTTTATTACTGTCGAATTACCTATTTTTGCAGTAAAGTGGCTTAAATTAGTCTGTTTTATTTAACTATAATCTCCACCTTAGAATATAATAGTTTATTTTAAAAAAATTAAATCTGGACCGTCAAGAGTTTCTAGTATATTATTTGCCATTGAAATATTTTGTTTGGCTTTGATCCAATATTCCTAAACCAGATTTGTTTTCGTAATTTAAAACGATAATAAATGTAATTATAAATTTAAAATTAAATAGTGCTGTACAAGCTAGTTATTTGACAATATACTATGAAGTCATATCTATTTTTATGCCAGCAGAGCAGTAAGGAAATTGTTTGTTGATTAAGAGGTTTAATATTTGTAAATTTAGCACTGCACGTACTAAATTAATATCTTATTTATATTCTCATTTCCTTTATTTGTATTTACTATATAAGTTAATTTTAATCTGTTAATATTGTCAGTTATATGTCAGTTGCGAGTCAGTTATAAGTCAGTTACAAGGCAGCTGAAATATACGTCCATACCAACCTCGTCGTCTCAATTCACCTAGCAACGTATTTATTTTATTATTATTTCATTTAATTGGTAGTTGTTTGATAATTACCATATTATATTTATTTAAAAATCGTTACTAAATCTAATGGTTATATAAATAGACACTAGATTGACTTTCTGGAATATTGTATCAGAATCTTGTCGATATGCAGTTTATAGTTTCGTAATTAGTGGCATCTATATATAATCTATAAATTTTATATTTATATACCTTTTATAAACAATTTAATAGTCATATTTAAAGAGTATAATACTACTTTCGGTTAGGTATACTTTTGTATTTATTTATTTAATTTCATATACATAACAAATGAATAATATATATGGCGGACATAACACCTGAAGGCGTTCTCTACCAGTCAACCATTATTTATTTTTACTTCATCTTATTTGTTTTTTTAGGAGTGTCTGTATACATTATAGGTGAATAGAAATAAGAATTAAAATATAGATTATAATAATATCTGGAAAAAAATACAATTGTATTAACATTGTAAATAAAATTTAAACAAAATTTAGATGTGTTTTTTTTTTCGGAATAAAACTAAAATGATATACAACTTAGAATAATAGGCTAACAAGCTGACAGACTGATGGAAAGTTGTTATAAAATTTTGAATTAATGTTTAATTAATATCCGAAATTACCGAGATTACCTGAAAAAGAAACTACGAATATATCTAGTTAACGTGTACTCGTATAAGAAAATATCATCATAGAGTTGTTTTCTCTAGAACTTTGTTTTTAGTAGTGCAAACTTAATAGTATAAGAAGAAATATATTCGCTTTTTAGTGGACTCGATACTTCATAAATATTAAAGTTATTCAATTCAAATATATATTAGATGTTTTTAGAATTTTCCATGCCATGGCATGATATGGCACGATTTTATGGTCACAATATGATAAAAGATAAAATTATAATTAATATTTCATGACATTATTGTGCCGTAACCCATTTATAATATTATCGCAAAAAGGTAAAGACATTTCCAGTCTCGACACAATTGCGTATACATATTAATCTCTCTTATTAGATTTTAACGATAAAATCGTATGATAACGTTTAATATTGGGTTCAATTCTGAGGTAGAATTCCCTAAACTTATTTCTAAAGTTACAACTTAATTTGGTAATTTAACAAAATTATTGTAGTATGGATGTATTCGACAATTAAATATAAAGCAATTATGAGGCAAAACTACTAAAAATTTAGTTTATACTGATCTTAGAATAATTATTTCTCTGTGACGAAATTGAAAGTTTAAATATAGAAGCAAAGAATGTTTTTATGTTAAGTCTTTATATATTTTCATAGAATTTTACTAATGAGTAAATATTACATGTATAAATTTGTCTTACTTGGGCAGCAGCTTTTGTAATTTTTCCACTTTCATATTCTCTCTTGGTCTGCATTGTCATCGCCGCTTGCAGGTCTAGTAATAACGTGCCACGGAATCTGGTCCATCCTGGTTCCAACTTATCTGCTAACTCCAGAAGCTCGTGGCATAAATCAACTTTCCTTTTTAGAAGGGCATCGGAAATTTCTGTTAAAAATGTATTAAAACTGTTTAAAATTATTTACAAAAGTCGTCTGTATGGGTAATTTTATTATTCCATTAGTGTTTTAGCTGCCTGTCAAGAAGTGTACTTGCATGACCGTGTTTTGATTTCAAGAGTGAGATTATGACAGTGAAGCACTCATGAGAGAAATCAATGAGAGGTAACGATATAGTGTGCTCTGTGATGGCATTGATGATTGATTCATGACTATACGCGATAGTTATTACCTTCTATCCACTATCTAACGGCCCAAATGAGAGGCTAAGCGCAGAAAACAGAGTCTTTCTCACATTTACACATTCACATTCCACTATCTATTACATGAGCTAGCAGCTTGTATAGCATTCAAGTGATTTATCATTTGGCAGTCATGAAAGCTGAGTGTCATTTTAATGACTGGTCAATGTAGATCCACTGGCATTAAATCACACTGTTCCTGACCTATTTGGATGATATTGATAGATACGAACTGTTCGATCTCTATCACATATCAACATTGAATGAATGAATTAGGTCACGGTTATCTAAATATAATATAAAGATTATTGGCTTTGTCAGTATTTGTTCAATTTTATATGAAAATTCTACAAATATTTCTGTTTATTGAATATGAATGTGTGATAATGAAAAAGGTTATTTATAATGTACATGTAGAATATAACTAGACATTAAATACCTGTCAAAGAATATCCTTTATAATTTCCATAAATTTGTATCAACGCCAATTTGGCTTGAACCACTAAATGGTTAAGTGGGTGCAACGTGTTACTATACCTACGAATAAAGTCTTCATAATCCTTATGTCCAGTTTTATTTAATTTATTTAAGTCTTGCATCAAAGCATTGTTACCCCAGAACATTTGTCGGCTTTGAATGAAATGCTCACATTTTTCACATCGCCATAATGCATTTTCATCTAATGGATTACTTGATACCATCATTGGTTTTGGTGTAATATTATCACTTCCTGGTCCATTACAAATAGAACAATATATGTTACCCAAATAAGTTCCGAGTTCAGTTGGATCTTTACACCTATCGCATTCACATTCGAAATGTTTAATATTTCTTAAATGTCTTCGTCTATCTAAGGTTCCCCACAGTGTCTGTGTATATGTTGCAGTTATAATATCGCCTTTAGAAATTGGCACAGTCGCTATGACTGCGATTTTATAATCATCGTCCAAGAATATATGACGAGTGTTAGGTTTGCAACTGTGGTTCATCATTGATGCTGTCACATAAATAGCTCTTGACCTTTTTGTACCATCTGTGGATCTTACATCAAATGCATTCGTATCCAGTATCGAAGCTGCTTTTAAAATAGTTTCTTCATCGAATTCCATGCCTAGTACTTGAACAATGAAAGTCACTAAATTTGCTCTCAGAACTAGATACAAAGGTGTATCTTTCTTGTCTTCTAAATGAGATTCTAAGCTCATTAAGTTTTCAAATTGAAGGGGATTGGAATTCTTCGTTAATAACACTCTGAGAGGAGTGATAACACAATAAGCTGCCTCGGCTTTGTCCGATTGCTCATATTTTATAGCGCATCTATACTTTCTGTCTGACATTATTTTACATTCAGGTTTATGTACATCAGCTTTCTCACACTGGGGTCCACACATTGGCCAATTACACAAAGAACATTTATAGAAATCAAAACCACCTTCAAGCTTCGCCGGCTCTAGCTTCTTACCGCATGCCAAACAGTGAGGTGTGCACGTCATTCTCGGACCAATCACCGCTGGTTTCTCCTTCAATATCATTTCACCTTGTTTTATATCCCTCGTTGCTATCATGTGTCTACCAAACGTGTCAGAATAATGAATTTTGAAGGCGCAACATTTGAATTTGTGCCCTTCCCTCCAACCTAGTTTTTGATGTGGTCTTGAACAATAATAAACGAGTTTACATCCTCCACAAATTTGATTAGCTGGCTGTTGGCATACTTCGCACGTTGGTATTTCAGGCTTTTTGTGATCCATTTTTGTTTTTATATGGTACACTGTCCGTGTTCGCGGCTAGCTCGCTTGGTTTCCAACACAATACTCGTCTTAAATAGATATGTATAATTAACACACGGTATAAAGACTCGGAGACGTGCCAACAAGATTAAGATTACTGCTTCCAAATGTTACAAATGCTCTTTTGTAGTAACATAAATGTATTATAACTGAATGGTCATACAAAATATTTAAAAAATATAGCAAATAGTTACGCTTACACAATAATATTATTATTCATAACAAATTCATAATTTTGTTTATTGTTATAAATTAAATTATGAATTTGTTTATATTAACATAAACATCTTTATGTATATATTTAAATTATTTTTAGCATATTTAAGTAGCATTTAAGTACTTAGGTGTTAGAAGTTAGGTTAACATTTTGATAAGTGACTTCGTATCAAATTAGTTGCTTTCAAATAATAAAATCATATTCTTATTTGTTTTTCTATATCACATCCACACACACATATAAAAATTGTTATATGTATTACTGTACATATACCTATATTTATGATAAAATTTATTTAATTTTAAGAGAGCATGCTTAACGGTAGCATATATTTCGTGTTGATTCTAGTTTGTAGACATTCAAATTTCACATTAGCTAAATTGTGTACAATAATATAGATAGATGGCGTTCCAAGTTTCATTCTGAAAAATATGTTTGGGAAGAGTTTATTTTTAATGGATGAAAATGGAGGGAAAAGAATCGTTAAAATTAGAGTCTAACAGCGCGATTGCTAGCAATACACCCCATCAGGTCGACGTTTTCGCCGTTCTGCTTGGAAACAATCGCGGTTACTCATACATTTTCATTCTCTCCCATCGTTTTTCACTGGTGCCTCGCCAGCGTATGCCAATAACGCAGGCGGATTTAAAATTCCATTGTCAAGACATTTCAAATAAGGAGATTTTCAAATCTCTTGTATTTTTTTATATGTTTGTTTTTTATCTAAAAGTAGAAGGATATAGACTACTTTTTATATCTAGCAGTAAATATATTTTGGTTACACGGACTCGGTTACACGGAAGTCGCAGGTAAAAGCTAGTATTGTAATAAATAAAAAATAAAATGATGGTGTATATGATAAAAAATACCAATTACAAAAAGCGTGCCAGTAGTAGGTAACTATTATAAAAATATTTGGTACTTAAACCAAACTTATTTCAATAAAAAGTATTATATTTACAATAAAAAAAAGAATAAAAAGTAATAAAGACGTACAAATTTAAATAAATTATTTCCTACGTGGATTAATTTACGTAAATAGTTATTCAATACTTTTTATCATAAAAAAATAGTGAGAACAATGTATTTTTTAATTAACAAATTGCCAAATAATAAGTAGGTAAATAAGCATCGTAATATAATTCAATAAACGAAATTTAGTTAAAAAACAATACAATAATTCAGATAACAATACATTAGAACTTTGAAAAACAGAAACTATTATTTTTACACAGAGCATCATTCATGCTTCGTTCATTTAGCTACCATTACGCAACATAATATTCTTTGGATAAATAGTAGTTAGAAAGCTGCCTTTGCCAGTGCTCGCGCTCAGAGAAAAATAAAAAAAATAAAATTAAAAACGCGCCAAAACGAAAAAGAGTGAATTCGTGTAATTGGGACTTACTTTGTGTACTATTATAATTTATTTGTTTTCTATTTAATATTTGGTGTTTAGTTTTAAATTATTTTTATAAATTAAATTATAACTACAATTAAATTACAATTAACTCCTAATAAAATTAATTACATCGTTTAAAAAATCTATACAGCAGTTGAAAAAAAGTAAGTATCAATCTATAGGCTTTTTTAATAATATTAATAAACATAAAAATATTATCATATTATAAAATATAAAAAATTAATTAATTGTTACACGAAGTTTTCAATAAATAAATAAATATTCAGTAAATTTACTTAATTATTTAAAATCAAATTTGACTTTTCATCGATTCCGTCTACCCCATTAAAAGACTGTCATTACTTAGATGAAGTATGTATTTAAAAACAATATATTATTTTTACGAACAGATATTACAATTTGATATAAAAAATTTAGATACATATATTATAATGGGTAGGTGTTTTGTATTTTCTTCTTATACCTACATATACATAAATATATATCCATTATTCCAATCCAAACAAACTAATTATTTATTTTACATTGCAAATTTATAATTTATGATTGCTGAAGCATAGTATTTATTTGCCACTAATATTATTGATCGTCTCGTGTAGTAACTCGATGCTTGGCAGTGTTTTATATTGAATGACGTAAATCTTATCACCATAGAAATAATAATGCTTGTTGTAAAAATAGTGTATTGTTATAACAGTTTATATGAAATAATAATTATCCAATAGTTTTTTTTTTAACTAGAAGGAGACTTTGTACAAAAGTTCTTTGCTTGGGTACCTCTGTCCTATTCGTGTTTCAACCGTAAAACAGTTGTCATTGCTTGGCTGTGTTTCGGTTTGAAGGGTGGGATATGGCGTAAAACAGGGTACAGAGGAATAATATCTGAGTCATCAGGAATGGCAACGCATAGGGGGTAATATGGGCGAAACATTATACTCTGTTATGTCCATGGTACTGTCCATGTCTATAGGCGACGGTTACCACTTTACATCAGGTAGGCCGTCAGCTTGTTTGCCATTCTAAGTTGTATAAAAAAATCTTAAAACGTCGGTCAAGTGCGAGATAGATTTTTACATGTTATTGTTAATACCTAATGTGGTCTAATAGGCCAATCGAGGACAAGAAAGAATCGGTAGTAATACAGATTACCAGCCCCAATCAGATCGATCTCCACGTGGTTCCTCCTGGAAGCCATCTGCTGAATTCTAGGTGTATTCGTTGCTATGGGCTAACTGCTTTTTCATTTTCACCTGTCATCCCTCACTGGTGCCCCGCCAGCGTATACCGTTAGCGCGGGCGGGGCTGCTATTCTATTATCATCGATTTAAAAAAAAAAATAAGCCAATTGTTAACAATGTACTTACCCTATCAAGTTAATATGACTTGATAGGTTATGAGAATGGTCGACGATCCCAAGTTCATAGGCGGTATTGATCCGTTAAATCTAAGACGAGTCTTTGCCTCCCTATATCTGTTCTACCGCTTGTGTAACAGGTTGTGTTCTGAGAAATTGTTTGAAATAATGCCCACAGCCACCTTTTTTGATCGCACTGCTCGCCATCGACAAGGAATTCATTCTCACACGCTTGAACTTGAATGGTCACGTACAATGCAGCTTCAAAGGAATTTTCACCCGTGAACGCTCATGCTATGGAACGAGATTCCTGCCGAAGTATTTCTTAGAGACTATAGTATAGAGGTTTTCAAAAAGGGAATATTAAGGTTCTTTCAGGGGCAATACGCACGTGACACTCCTAGTGTTGCAGGCGTTCATAGGCTACAGTAACCGTTTATATTTGTTTATCTTCGTGGTATAAAAAAAAAACATCCGCATGGTGCCTGGAAACCATCGTGGTTAATTCCCAGTGAACTCGTCACGATGGGCCAGTTGACTTGACTTCATTCAATTCAATTCATTTATTTACATTCATCCACACCTATCATCATCCCGTCAGTGTATACGGACAATTACTTTATCAACCGTCCACTGCTGAATATTGGAGGAGTTTTGCACCGCTGTTCAATATCACCAAAGCCTGGTGATGTTTTAAGAGGGACACTACTGCAACCATTAAATTTCCTTTTTTTTTCAATGGATGATAATGAAATGGTAACCCCGCCTGCGCTAATGGTATACGCTGGCGGGGCACCAGTGATAGATGATAGGTGAGGATGTAAGGGCAAGTCGGTTAGCCCACCGTGATGAATACACCTGGAATTCAGCACGATGGTTTCCAGGGAGAACCACGTGGAGGTCGATCTGATAGGGTATATTGCTAGCATCGGGACTGATAATCCGTATTACTAACAATCTCTTCCCCCCTATTAAATTCCCTTAAGCGCCTCTTATGACACTCGCGAGAAAGAAAGAGGTAGTCGATTCTATGCCGGGACCATAGGGCTATTATTAACAACTTAAGACAATTCCGTACATTTTATAAATAAACACTGTTTTATTACGGCTGTTTACAACTTTTATGAATGGAATATTTACCATGATAATATCTTTGTTGTTCTAAATATTTCGACGATATAACAAACGTCGTTGACACGTGTCGATCCGTGACGTGATCATGATGCTTGTAACAGTGTCTCGTTACACATAAAATGTGTAAAATTTTGTAAATAAATTGACTTCACTTATAAGTTATTGTTATTACCCGTGTGGTCCCAGTATAGAATGGGCCACCCCTTCCATTCCTGTATGTGTCGTAAGAGGCGACTGGGCAAAGTTAATGGCTGAGAGATGAACAGCAGCGTCCCTCTTTAATCTGCAACTAGCGGCCCGTCCCGCTTCGCACGGGTGGACATTTTTACAACATTTTAAAAAGTGGTTATTGTGACAAAACGATAATAGTTGGACATATAGTATCGCAAAGTTTTTTGTAGTTATTGTAGAACATACTTTTGTTTCATCACCAATAGTTTCCGCAGCGCACGCGACGATATATATTTTATAGCATTTTTTACACCTTAAGTTACGTTACTAAAGTTTTAGTAAGGATCCCTAATCTTTTCTAGCAATAAATATAGCCTATGTTATTCAGGTTGAATGTAGCTTTCTAATGTTGAAAGAATTTTTGAAATCGGCAAAATAGTTTTTGAGTTTATTCGTTACAAACATACATACACACAAAAATACAAATCTTTCCTTTTTATATTATAATATTAGTATAGATGTAGATGAGGGAAGTTGGCGGAGAGTAAATACGCACTCATTAATGGTTGTAAACTGGTGTACTTCAGAGTTACAAGATGAATACTCTACTCTTAGCTAGTTACAATCATCATCTTCCTACCCTTATCCCAATTATTATTTGGGGTCTGCGTAATATGGTTTTATCCATATTACTAAAGGATTTGGCTTAAAGTTATACGACCGGCCGCCTGTGTGACGTCAACCCTCTTTGGGAATGCATTTGTTGGTGGTTTCCGCCACCTACAGTTTGGAGGAAAGGATTGAGGAAAAAGGCTTAGCTAGTTACAATATCGTTTTATATTAACTGCTACGTGCAAATATTCGATAATATTAGGAAGTTATTTCATATATTCTGTGTTTATAATTCACGTTATCATATCACATGTAAAAGATTACCAAAACTATGGTTGCCAACTTGCCTGTCGAGCGTGGCAATTATTGGCAAAGGCTTACGAGGGAGGTCTATTTAGCTGTGGACAGTTGACGGATGATATGGATACAGTTTATTGTAATTAAATAAATAAATTCAATATTGAAATTTTTCTTCAAAATAACTTGTTATGATACCTTACTATTCATATTAGTTCATCAACCACTAATTAGTAACTCCTTTTTACATACTTCATTACATACTTACATATAATATTATTATTTTTTATACCTTAAGTTTTTTCTTTGTATCACAAAATATAGAATCGATATAGTTTAGTCGATCGATTTGATCACATAATGTAAAGACCAAGGCTGTTTTTAACCGACTTCAAAAAGGTGATTTTCAATACAGTTTTATATATATTTTTGTGTTTGATACCTCATAGTTATGAACCGACAATTAATAAAAACCTTTCGTACTTGCAGATTAATCCCATAGAAATTTTATCAAAATTCGTTTAATAGTGCAATTTGTAGAACACAGTCTTAAATTATTTATCAATGCCTTTCATACAAAAGAACAAAAAAAAATTCTTATTGTAGCAATTTTTTTTTCTTCAAGAATCAAGAATACACGTATGTAAGCAACCCTTAAACGACCCTTACTTACGGCTAACTGAAAGTTAGCAACCCTGGTGCATTGTATTATATTTTCGCTAATCTTTCATTGAAACTAACATTCATTAAATAACCTTATTTCTACAGAAGTCAGCGGGATCTTAATTTATATTATGTTACTAATTTTAAACTTTGAAATAGCTTGCAGAAATTTATTACCAGGAAAAATATTGTACAAGAGATTTTTATTTTAAGATATGTTTAAAATTTCAATTCGTCACAGACAATATATCTAATATTTTAAGATTAAGAACGAATGCCAAGTTAAAAAAAACTAAGATTTTTTCGCAAATGAGTTATTGTAGTCGTAACACATGTCTTCCTATTTCCATAGCAACAAACTCTGTATTTAAATTGCTGAAGGTTAAGCTCTCTCTATCTACCTTAGAAGTGATTTAGCGTGGAGATAGATAAATGTAGAAGATTATTAGATATTATCACTACTATTTTATGAAGGTGATGGGGGGAAAGATATTTTTAGGAACAAAGTCTATCAGCCTTATTGCTAGAAATGTATCCTATCAAGTCGACCTCCACGCTCTACATCCTGGAAACCTTTATGGTTAAATCTTGTAGAATTCGTCAAGATAGGCTAACAAACTGAACTTCATTCTCACTTATCATCTTTTACTTGTACCCCACCAGCATATATCGATAGAGCACACGGGGTTACCATTCCATTCTCACCCATTAAAAACAAAAGACGCTCTTTTGATTTTGAGAGTCTCCATGCTGCGAATACCTTAGCAGACGACAAATTATGTGCCATTCGAAACACGAAGAAAGTAACAAAAATACAAACATTAATTTGAAAAATTCAGATTAGGCTTGGTTGCGATTTTGTGATTCCAGGACTGCGGTCTGGTGTTGTTCAATCTAGTGACAGCTCGTTGCCAGCTGATCAGATGTCAGCTGTTAACATTTATACATTTTAAATAAAAATTAATTTAATGTAAAGGCAATTTAATTTTGATGTAAACACCACAGAACCATTCTTTAAGTAAAAAAAAACAACCGAACATATAACCTCTTCCTGACTCGATTAATTAGTATCAAATCGAAACATTCAATTAATCGTTTTTTTTTTATTTCTATTGAACATTAGAAGATTGTTTTATTATTCGTTTATATTTTCATTAGGTCCTATCGAAACAAAGTATAGAATACGTCAAACAGCGTTTATTTTCATTGAGATTGGCAAATTCCACGAACACAGATTCTCCAGTTTGAAAGTTCTGAAACTAGGCTACAGCGAGCTATTTCTGTGTTGTAACCTTACACAGTTCACCTAGAAACGTTTTTAACTGGAATTATTAATAGGCTGGAAAAACCGGTTTTAACCGATTCCAAAAAGGAAGTGATATCGATTAGACTGTATTTTTTTTAAATATTGATGTGATATATACGCCATACATTAATATTTTCAATATGTAGTCGTTTTTATCTTAATTGGTCGAAATAGGAGAATTTGAAAGACTCTGAGATTTAGACTAGGTTTCGATCTTGGGATTTCTAAAACGCATGTATTTAACTCCCTTGAAAACTAAAAATATAATTCTTACATAAGTGAAAGTAATAAATTCATAAAAATCAACGTGTTAAATTTCGAAGATTTAAAAAAAGACATAAAGGGTGTTTTGATTGCAAGTCATTACCCCCTTAATGTGTACCTTGACTAGTTCAGATATATCTTTGTTATACCTTGACATATACATATGTACAGGGCTGTCACTTATGTTTGTATTGGTAGGTGATTCAAATGAAGAAAATTGCCTTCATAAAAATTTGGCCTTCAAACGTAGATCACAATTACACTAATCTTTTATAAATATATTATATTATTACAATTTTTTATATTATTACTAGTATTTTAATATTTTTTTTAGATTAAGAATTAAAAAAAAATTATACTATTTTTTTTTATACAACTTAGAATGGCAAACAAGCTGACGGCCCACCTGATAGAAAGTGGTAACCGTCGCCTATAGACTTGAGTAGTACCATGTACACAACAGAGTATACTGTTTTGCCCATGATACTCCTCATGTGTTGCCATTCCTGAGAACTCAGATGTTATTCATCTGTACCCTGTAAATTCACGCCATATCCCACCCTTCAAACCAAAACATAGTCATGCAAACACAACTGCTTCACGGTATAAATACGAATGGGACAGAGGTACCCAAGCAATCGACTCTTGTACAAAGTCTCCCTCTGGTAATACATTTAGTTTTTTTGAAAAGGCGAAGATTTTTAAAAAATAGGTTACATTACTTAAAACACATATTTTTACAGTTGTATTCTTCAAGGCTATTTCATTGGTTTTTCTCAATTGGATCTATATACCGAACTGGACGGTAGGGAAAAAAATAAAATTATAATGTAAAAATTTGACGTTCATAAGCGGCTAAAATGTCCTACATGAATAAATGATTTTTGAATTTTGAATTTTTGAATTTTTTCTACTTCGAAAATCCACGCGTAGTTAGGAACAAAAAGCTAAGTAGTTATTAAAAAATAAATTATTACGTTAACAAAAACCTCGTAAATGTTGGATTTATTTGTATAAATCTAGGTTAAAATCTTTATACATACTTTTTACTTAAGGCTTTAAAAAAAAACTCAAATCAATTTGTGGGACCAATTACGGGAACTTTAATCAATGCGGTGTCAACCCTAGCTTGCACCTGATACAACCAATTTATCACATTAATTCGGTCAGCCAACAAAGTAGTAGATATAATCTATAGCAATACTACTCATACATACATATATAGTGTTGTATTATCGGTGAAGAAGGATTGTTAGTAATGGGGACGTTAATCCCCAGTGTTAGCAATATTCTCTATCAGGTCGACCTTTATGCAGATGCCCCTGGCACAGATAATATAATACTCCCCTGGAAACCATCGTGATTAATTATTGTCAAACTCGTCGTGATGAGCTAACTGACCTGCTTTCATCCTTACCTATCATCCCTCACTGGTGCCCCAGTATTGTATACCAATAGCGCAGATGAGGTTACCATTTAATTATAATCCGTTAAAAAAAGACCTCCCAAAAGATATAGTAAATTAAATGGCAGTTATTTGTATTTGTCATAATCCTACCAGTTACTATTAAATTGTAGTAAATGTACAAGGTACAGAGGTGTAACACCTGAGTCCTCAGGAATGGAAACGCATGGGGGGTATCATGGGCGAAATAGTATACTCTGTTATGTCTATGGTACTGTTCATGTCTATAGGCGACGGTTACCACTTTCCATTAGGTGGGCCGTCAGCTTGTTTGCCATTTTAAGTTGCATAAAAAAACTGAGCAATAGGTAAGAATTAAGTCAAGTCGGTAGGGCATTGTAAGGGGGAACGCACGAAGATCGACATGATAGGGTATATTGTTGGCTATGGGACTATTTTTTAATGGTTTTTTTTATACAACTTAGAATGGCGAACAAGCTGACGGCCCATCTGATGGAAAACGGTAACCGTCGCCTATAGACATGAGCAGTACCATGGACATAACAGAGTATACTGTTTCACCCATGATACCCCTTATGTGATTATATTATGGTAACCCCGCCTGCGCTATCAGTATATATTGGGGGAAAACCAGTGAGAGATGATAGGCGAGGAATCTCTCACTGGGTTTTCCCAGCATGTTAATTGACCCATCATGACGTATTCAGCAAGAATTAATCACGATGTTATCAAGGGGACATCGCATGGTAATTTAACTAAATATTTGTAATTTTTTTTTTTTCAGAATAATGGCACTGTGCAATGGCGTCAATGGAATACCGTACGAGGTGAGAAAGTTATTATTATTATAAGAAATTTGTTTATTTTAATTCTCTAGGTTCATTTTCTTTAGATCTCTTGAATCTGCAGTTTAGTTTAAATTCATTTGTCAATAACGTTTTCTTCCTTTAATGAATATATGTACATTTACATAACTTATTAAATTTGTTTAGCGCTCTCTGTCGAATTTATTTGTTACTATAGAACTAACTTTCTATAGAAAGCTGCTACTTTCAACGTTGACTGTGTCCTAATAACTCTACTTGAAATTAGTAGATGGCGTTGAAACAAAAATTTTATATATAAAAAAAATAGATGTCGTTAGCCTATCGGAAATGCATTACTGTAGGTACTAAAAATACAAATCAGGAGTGCATTTGTAAGAATTAAAAAATAAATCATTAGGTAACAGTAGTTAGATCTTATATATTAGTGATGCGGTACATTGAAAGTAAGAACGTGAGTTTTAAACATGTAAGTAGTTTTTGGATCTCTTTATATTTCAATAAATTAATTGAAACAATATGAATAACTATGTTAAAACACCCATAATAATAGGTAGATAATTATTTTTTGTACAATATTTCTCTTCTTAAATATCTCTATCTACCTACGTCTTGTTTAAAATTCCGATGTCACGGTATTGGTTAACGCCAATCTCCGAAACCTAACTTTGAACAGAAGGTTCAGTACTAACTCAACAGTTGAACGCGCCTTGGTTCTATGACAAATTTAAAATATTTGTAGTTTTTCAGTCAATATTTATTTGATAAAAAACTCCAGTTTCGTTGGTAGAACACTCCTTTCAAGGGGAGCAAGTGATTGCCAGTAATGCGGCCTGTTAGTTCCACTGTTTGTAACCCAGTCAGGTCGACTTCCACATGGTCCCTGCTCGAAACCGTCGTACTGAATTCCATGAATTCACGACGGGCCAACTGACCTGCCTTTTCATTCTCACTTATCCTTCCTGCCCCGCCAGCGTATACTGTTAGCGTAGACGGGATTACCATTCCATTGCCATTCATTGAAAAAAAAACGCTCCTTACAAAGGATGCTAATGATTTTGAGATCACTGTTTATACGTAGTGAACTGTAGTTGATAATTATCACAATAACATAGGATATTATAGTAAAAGGGTCCCATATGTTAGAATAATGTGCAAATTTAATGGTAAAGTTATGTGAAAAGGACCGTGGATGCGTCATTTATGATAATATTTTTGTTGATATGATTTAAAATGACAGTTCTATTACGCTTTTCATCATGAAAAGTATACCTACCTAATTTTGGGCATCGTTTCACAACTTTGAACAGTGTTACTATGACATAGAGTTCAAAATTTTTCGTCAGTTTTAGTTGATGATGAATAATGTATTAAGGTAGTGAAATATACCTATATGAAAAAGTCAAATGTCTAAAAAAATGAAAAGGAAAGGTTTATTCTGCTAATTTAGCTTTGGAAATGTCAATTTTGAATATAAAATATCATAGACATTTAATAATATCTAATCCTATTTATACCGTGTGGTCTCGGCGTAGAATAGGCCACTTTTTCCTTTCCTGTGGGTGTCCTAAGAGGAGATTAAAGGAAGTTAATGGTACAGAGATAGGCAGCAGCGTCCTTTTTAAAACATCTCTAAAGTCTAATTGCGGTTGCCAACCCGCCTGCCAAGCATGGTAACTACTGGCAAAACTACTCTTATGGGGAAGACTTATGTCCAACAGTGGACAGTTTCACCCAGATGAAGCTACGGGTTACAGCTAGTTGAATTATGTCGTTTATTTTTTTAAGAATGAAACAGTCATATATATTTATAAAGTTTAATAAAAGATTATTGGATACCCCAGGTTCGAACATCAGGTGAACTTGGACGCTATCTCGTCGCGGCCCGTGACCTGACTCCTGGGGACTTGGTGCTGACTGAAAGACCTCTAGTCTTTGGGCCCAAAGCTATGCCGAATCCAGAAGCCAGCATGCCTTGTGTGGGGTGCTATAAACCAGTCTCCACTGATGTGGGAGAAAGATGTTTTAGGTAAGTTATTATTATAGTATTGGAAGTTGTTCATCGATATTGACAATGCCGAATACTAACAATGGGGGAAGTGTACGTTAGTGACGAAGACTAACTAAAAATATTGATAGCAATATATTTTGTCCGAAAATGTGCTATGATGGGTTGATCCATTTGACTTCATCTCCACTTACATTTTCTCACTGGTCCCAACAGCGCAGGACAGAGATATTTGTCAACTGTTATGGTGAACGAATCATATAATTAGAGAAACCCAAATTTGTTAGTTTCTCTAAAAAATACCAATTAAAATTGCGTCGATATTCAACCACGTGTGTTTTTTGCTATAATAGCTGAATTTTGGATTTTATTAGTGTTAAAGTACAAAGCAAAATTTTATGTGAAGATATATTACATTTGAACATGTTTTAGCTTATACAATTTAATGCACATAGGCTTAGCCCAGGCTCATAAATTTTAGAAACAATTCCTTTTGTACCGAAAAGTCACAGGAACAAATCAACTTAAAGCCTTTCATAAATTACAGATGTGGTTGGCCTGTATGCTCCGGTAACTGCCCAGGTCTAACAGACCCCAGACACCATGGAGTAGAATGTCATATTCTCAGCGCAAGACCAGAGTGCGTGCTAAGCAACATGGCTGATTATTACAGGTAGGAATTGACAGATTGAAATCAAAATCATTAGCATCCTTTATAATTAATGGTATAAGATAAGATATTAATAATGGCTCTAGATGAGACTTAGAGATTGGTATCTATCTTTTTTACTATTGAAGAGTCCTGTGATTGATCACGATCTCACCTAACGGAAACCAATGATGTGGTCTAAGATAGAACTCGCGAAGCCACGACATAGCATTTGTGTTAAATTGGTGCAGATTATATTTGGATAGAAAAACATAAGCAGCGAGAATATAAAGTGTTATCTGAACATAAAGATTTTCAATATAGAATTCTAAATGCAGAAACTTATAAAGCACATACTTATAAAGCAGTTTCAATATTGATAAATAATCACCAACCATGAGTTTGGCTACAGCCCAAGGCAACATCACACATGTAGTCATGTAAATCGATTTACTGACATTCGTAATCTCAGAACTCGATACAAAACCTCGTGTTTCTTTATACGTGATTAGATTAAGATCTCGACTCGATTTACAAGTATCGATACTGCACGAGGTCGTTGTGGCTGATTTACAATGAGTTTTAATATTAAGGTAAAGTATTATTCGCAATTGACCTACATGTTTGAACCCTACACAGATGATATAAAATACAAAATGCTGCCAAAATCGAAAGCAGTGACTTTTATACAAATAATAAAACATTTTGTATATTATATATTGCCAAAATCCAGATATAATATCACTTCACGAGTATTGAAGGACATAGAGTATGTTCACCATAATTAGTCTTACTTTTTTACAATTTTATAAATAGACACAGTGATGTCTGTGAAATTATAGGTTACTATCAATACGAAAATAATTAAATGAATATACATAGCTAGTAACTTGTGTTACTACCTATTTATATTGAGGGTTGTACCTGGCAACCGTAGCACAAAATCATAGGTTACGATACATATTATTATATTTTCGTTCATCTTCCATTTAAGTTTCAATTTAATTTTATTAAAAAGTTTTAATACATACAGGATTAAATGGTGGGTGGTTATTTGAAAATTGAAGTTTTTGACTTTACTCTCGATCAGGCAAATTAAGGTAACACATAAAATGACTCTTACCTATGAGAGAGGAAGAGGTAAACACTTGTTTATTAGTGTAATGATCGACATTAACGTGTAAGAATATATAAATAAAAATATTATTAAAAAAAATTAATAATTGCAACTAACATCATCTACTATTTATTTAAACATAGCTCTCTTTTACCTCTTTACCCTGTGTGACTATATGGATATTAGAGGGGTCAAACTGAGATGCATCTTATTATTCGGTCTACCGATTCTACATATATCAGCTATTAATATCTACTAGTCCGTAAAATTTGTCTGGCCGTTTTCTATTGTTTACGTTAAACAAAAGATGGTTATCTATTCTATTGTTTATTTTAAGATTTCATTCGATATTTTTTATTTCCTCAGTAAACTTTTACGTAATGTAGAGCCTTTTTCATGTGAACAAGTACAAATTTATTACAACTTTCCAGTAGATAATTAAGCTAATATCTAATTGAATATTGTTGTTAATTTTCTATTTTTTTTTGCATATTTTCAGACATGACGCTCTTCTATCTCTCCGATGCATTTTACTTCAGAAAACAGATCTCAAATTGTGGGAAAAGCTTCTAGAAATGCAATCTCATATGGAATGCCGCATACCTGGCAGCGAAACTTATGAGTAAGTTCAGTTTATAAGCCATCAAAACAACAATCTTTAAATAAATAATAAAAATTAGTTTCCGCTAGATAGTTAGAAATATTAGTAATTTATTAAAAACTTTATTCTTAGATTTAGATTTAATTCAGTAGACTCCATCTGTATTTAATTAATTTACCTATAAATGTGAATCTAAAAACTTAAATAATTATTTTGTTTCACTCCTATTTATATAACATTTCCACGTGTTTTTATTTCAGTGAAGCTAATGAATATATTGTAGAGTATCTAATGAACAATTTCATATCAAAATTACAAGATGAAATTAAGAACAAGTACATGCCAGAAGTTTCATCTGCCCTTATTCACAGAATATGCGGTATTATTGATACAAATGCACTTGAAATACGTCTTTCGGAGGGCACTGAATTACTTGCATTATATACAAACACATGCATAATGGAACACAGTTGTATACCAAATACAAAACATACGTTCATCTTACAGCAATCACCTAAAAACCGAAATGATTTATATAGAATCACAGTTAAAGTTGTTGTTCCGGTACAAAAGGAACACCATATAACTACTATGTATACTCATGCATTATGGGGCACTCAAGCAAGAAGACAACATTTAAAAGATACAAAGTATTTTGCTTGTAAGTGCACAAGATGCAGTGATCCTACAGAATTAGGTACTTATTTGAGTGCTATGAAATGCCTCGGGGATGGAAATAAAGTGTGTGATGGAATACATCTACCGGAAGATCCTTTAGATGATGAAACGGAATGGGCTTGCAACAAATGTCCCATTAAAATAAATAATTCTCAAGTAAATATGCTTATTACGCAGATGGGAGAAGAAGTAGAGAACGTTCAAATGGTTGGTGGTTCTGTACTAATTTTAGAAAGTTTGCTTTGTAGATTGTCCACATTTCTGCATCCAAATCATTATCACTTGTATACTATAAAACATTCTTTGATACAATTATATGGTAGACAGTCTAGTTACATGTCCATTGAAATATTGGAGAAAAAAATAAAGATGTGTAAAGATCTGATTCTTATAACAAAAACTTTAGATCCAGGAAATGCTAGGCTTAGTTTATACAATGCTGTGTTACACCATGAGTTACATTCAGCTTTGGTATTAAAATTAAAAGCGAACATTGATTGTTCAAAGAAGAATATTGATAACATAGTACCTATATTAACTGAGGCTAAATCAGCAATTGAAATTGCTTTAGAATCTCTAAAAGATGACATTGACGAGACTTCTGGAAAGAAATTGTTTGAAGTAATCAAGAGGAGTAAAACTAGTTTTGATAAATATTACAAAAAAAGAATGTTACATTGTAAATAGTTTTAATAAGTATTTAACAATTAATTTAATAAAGATTTTATACAATATTGTCTTAAAATTAATATCACAGCTATTTCTTTGATCAACATAATATTAAGTTCATAATCAGGTCACACGTTTACTTAAAAAAATATTAATACAAATTCTAGTAAAGCGTTACTTTTTCTTCGAAGGCACGAAATTAATCTTGTAAACAATTAATTTTAATCTTATTTTTATTAAATAAACTAAATAAGTATCTTATGAATTAATTGATAACGATGTAATTTAATTTTATATTAATAGATTTCTTGGAATATCAAGACTTTGCTAAAATTTAAGAATTTTCATTTTGTATGGAGTATAAATACTTTAAATATTTACAATGCAGTTACAAGGTCAATGTTGAACTTTGTATTCATTAAATACTCCAAGCAACCATAAAATTCAAAATCACACTATTGCATGACTTGAAAGAAAATGTAAGTCTAAGTAACAGTTTAGTCACATTCCATTTGGTGGATAAATGGTTTGTTTGCTATATTTCTAGTAGGTTAATACTTATACGGATAGCAAGTACAATATAATTTGAACTATTATTATGATAGTAGCCATATCTGTGAGTGTATCAAAATATAAAAGATGTTGGTTAAATCAATATTTACATAACATTCAACTGAAGCGTGGGTACCAATTAAACCCTGATCTAAGTTCATTATTTCTAGATCTAATCTTATCATTTTCAATACTCTGAATAATCCAATCTGTATATCTGGATACCCTAGTATACACTCCAGGCATTTGAGCTCTGGCACATCCACTGCCAGTGGAAACCACTCCTACTACCATAGCGTGAAGATTATCTTCACGGAACATAAGCGGGCCCCCGCTATCAGCCTGAAATTAATTTGAAAAACAAAATTTTTATCAATTTTCTAAATATAAACCCAAAATCTACTAATATCTTCCATAAACATTGTAAAGCAAGATTTATAAATAAAAATTTAAAAATACATCATGATAGAACAACTGTGGGTTGAGCTGTAATCAAAATTTAAAGGTCAAACCTGAAGCACATATCTTTTTTTTTTAATTTTTATGATTACAAATATATATTATAAAATGCACAGTGATTAAGATAAGAATAAATCTTTCAGTAGCTGAAACTTTGGAAAATAACGTATAAATACTATTTTTTTTTTATACCACGTAGGCAAACAAGCATATAGCCCGTCTGATGGTAAACGATTACTAACTATAGATGTTAGCGACACTAGAGGAGTCACCTGCATGTTGCCAATCCTGAAGAAATTTTAATATACCCTTTTTGATTAACTGAGATTTTAGAATCGATTATTCCTACTATAGATTCCAGAGAAAACCTTTGTAGTGAGATCATTCCACAACCTGAGCGTACCTTTTGAAAACTTTGAATTATTGGTATTTATAAAATTTTTGATACTCTTTAAATAACTGGTCGACACATTCGTTACATGTTTTTCCTAATACTTACCCAACAAGAATCTCGACCTCCTTCTTTGTGTCCTGCGCACATTTGTGTGGGGATCACTTTGATCTTGCTCCCTTGGGCTTGGTACCATTCATTGCATTGATCATTTGTTACTACACGCACGTCAGTTTTTTGAAGAATGTTTGGTCTTGATCCTGAGTATCATATAATTAAATTATTGATACGAGTATCATATAATTAAAAGTGATAAATGTATGCAACTCTAGAGCCCGTACCGCATTGAAAATTACTACCGGTCTTATAAATGTTCAACAATAAATGATGAGTGTAAGTAATTTACGATTAATATCTGGCCTCAGAAAATGTCTTAAAGTCAGAGATTCCAGAATAGAAGTGTTGATGAAAATTGGTATTAACAAACAATTTTCAATTTTCAAATTGATTTCTGGAAATTTGTCGGTTTGATTAGGGATTGCAATTAATTCATAATTACTCTTAATTCTCAAAATTACAATTTACTGGAAATGGCAAACAAGTTAATGAGCTTTCATTAAATTAAATTTCTAGTAAATTATGACTAATACGATGGATAGTATTAATCATCACTTAGGAGATAAAAATAGCAGTGTATCGATTTTATATTGTGCCGCCAATGAATCTTAGGAATCGTTAGCTCCAGAAACTGAAATAGTAGGTAAACTTCTGAGATCGCACTGGTGAAGTTACACTTCTAGGTATCTAACTAGATACTAAACTCTGTTTGCTGATATATGATAAGTTCAAAAGAACTGCACCACAAAAAAAAAATAGATGTACGAGTTCAATACACAATATGTCTCTTTTTAATGGGATAAAATGAAACCGTAATCTCTCTTGCATCATCGGTATACTTTGACCGTATACAAGTAATGATAGTGTAAGAATGAAGTTTGATCGGTTGGTCCTTGACAAATTCTTTGTGAATTAACCGCGGTGGTTTCTATAGTGGCACGTAGAGAATATTTTGCTAACAATGGAATCACTACTCTTTTTATTTTACATAATTACTCCTCTCCATCCAAAGGTTGCCTGGAAGACATCGCTTTTAGCGATAAGGTTGTCTATTGTTTTCTCACTGTGATCATTTCTTGTAATTGTTTATACGTATAATAAGTTTACTATTGTGTTTAATAATATTTTAGAGGAAACAATAAAGAGTATCTATCTATTAACATTTTGTTTCTAACAATTTCCTCCTCTCTATATGCCAATTATGTATTGAGCTCCCACATCTATCTGCAAATTCATACCAATATTTCTATCCTCATTAGTGAATCCCCATCCAGCAACGGTGGCTAAAACACCACTGAAATCATTTGATAAGGCCTGCGGAAGACAGGCAGGTCGTAACGCGTTTGTCCACTGCAGCTGGTTCATAGTTTTCAAAAGAGCGACATCATTTGATTTTCTGTTGCACCTAAAACAATACCTTAGTTACAATTGACAGTCTGCATAAAACCAATATAACCTTTTTATTTCCTAAAGTTGATATTTTAGATTTGATCTTTTTTGATCTTGGTTAGAAGAGAAATAAGAATCGATTTTGATTGGAAAAACCGTCATGCAGCATTCATATGTATATCCATGTGAATATACTGTATAGTGCAGAAGGTATATTTTCGAATATATAGGTTATTATTTTTTTTTTAATGAATGATAATGGAATGGTAGCCCCGCCTGCGCTAACGGTATACGCTGGCGGGGCACCAGTGAGAGGTGACAAATGAGGATGAAAAGGCAGGTCAGTTAGTCCATCGCGATGAATACACTTGGAATTCAGCACGATGGTTTCCAGGGGGACCACGGGGAAGTTGACCTGTAAGGGTATATTGTCAGCAATGGGACTGATAATCCGCATTACTAACAATCCCTTCTCCCCGAATATATAGGTTAGAATGTTCTATTTGTGAATTGTGTTAAAAATGAGCAATAGTATAGTAGCAAGGACTACCAATTTGAGATATTGAAAACGTGGCTTGAGCGACACAGTTGGAGTAAAGTGTTCTTAGGCACGTAGCCCACCGCTTCTGAAGGCACTTCAATCAAGTGCAGTGATAACATCGAATAATTATCATTGAAACTACTCGTGCTATTAAACCTCTTTTTAAATGACTTCAAAATGAAGGAGGTTTTATTAAATTGTTTATTTTTTATGTTTATTACCTCATAACTCCGTCTGTTATAAACCGATTTGTAAAATTCTTTTTTTTATCTCAAAGAATATATTTACAGATTGATCCCAAAAAAAAAAATATATCAAAATCAGTTTTTGTAATTTAGTTTTTAGATCTGTACTAAATGACTGATAAATTACTGGTTTTTGTCACAACTAAAGTCGGTGTTTTAGGCACACAATCTTTAATTATTGTAATATATTGTTTAAGTTGTAACTTATTGATTAAACTTTACTATATCTAAACTTAAACTAATATTATAAAAGACAAATACTTGATTTTTTGTTATTTGTTCAAACTCAAAAAATACTTATCCAATTTTAAAAATTCTTTCACATATTGTAATATTATCAGTAGGTAAATATACTTTATGATGTGTGTCTGTACTTTATTAAAAATAAAAGCTGTACAAAAAATTCTAAATCAGGGGTGACTTGCTAATCGATTATAACAATATTATTCAAAAAGTTCGTACGTTGTTCTATTATTTTCGTTGTAAAATGTATGTATTTAATAATTATACACTCGACTGCTTTCTAAACGTAATTCTCACGCGTAATTATAAAGAAATGTTAAAAACAACCTTTTTATTTGGTAGAAAAGTGTGTATAAACACTTTAACTTTGAATAGACCCAATATAATCGAAATCTAGATTCTTTCTGTAATTTCGGTTGCATACGATCCCATTACGAGTAATGAAAACCTATTTAAGCTTATTTTTTATTTTTATACTACTTTAAAGAAAAGCATGCATACTGAACATAAGAAGAAAACATAACAATCTCATGTCATCGTGTTTGTGGTCGCACTCTTCCAAATGGGTTTGACTGATTTATGATATATATATCTGGTTGGTATGAGAGTAGGTCGTAAAGTGTATTTCATACTGCTAAGTGATCAGGGTGTTCTATCCAGAAATAAATATTTATATGGCAGAACAACGTTTGCCGGGTCAGCTAGTTAATCCATAAAATGTCTTATTCTATGATAGTATTTTCTATTATGAATGTGATTTTCCAAAGGTTGACTAGGAGAGAATGCTATATAGCATTAATTCCGCATTTTGTATTAAACATTGTTTTTTTGTAATGTGGTCGATAAAGTATAAATAAAATAAATATGTTCTATATTTTTTTATGAAACTTATAATAGCAAACAAGCTGCCGGCCCACCTGATGAAAAGTGGCAACCGTCGCCTATAGACATGAGCAGTACCATGGACATAACAGAATATATTGTTTCGCTCATGATATCTCCCATGCGGTGCCATTCCTGTGGACTCAGGTGTTATTGCTCTGTACCCTGTACTGAATTTACAGCTTTTACAATTTACTGCCGTATCCCACCCTTTAAACTGTATTTATGTATATATACTATATGTATGTATACTAAATATCCCGGGTTGGCAATGCGCGCGTAATAATCCTGGTATTGCGGTTGGGGCGAAAGGGATTGTTAGCAATGGAGTTTGACAGCCCCATTGCTAGCAATATGCCTTATTAGGTCGACCTCCACGTGGTTCCCCCTGGAAACCATCGTGAACAATTTTTGTTGAATTCGTCATGATGGGCTAACTAACCTGCTTCATACTCACCTATCATCCTTCACTGGTGCCCCGCTGGTGTATACCGATAGCGCGGGTGGGGTTACCATTCCATTATCATCCATTAAAAAAAATCCTGGTATTGCAGGCATTCATGGACTACGGTAACTGCTTACCCTCAGGTGGACCGTTACCTTAATGGTATAAAAAAATCTCTAATATAGTTAATATAGCTGATTAAGAGTTTAATAAACATCTATACAATCCTACAAATTAATAATTATAATATTGATATTAGATTGTCAGAGATAAGTAAATAAATTTATTTTTAATGACCATAAATCTTTGTGAAAACAATTTCAAATTCAATTATTAATCGCTTGACATCTACGTGACTTTACAGATGATTAAGTCTGTCAAATCAAGATGTACATTCCAAACAACTTTACATTCTGTTTTAATTAAATTTATTATTATAATTTTATTAAAAGTTTGCTTTCTATTATTATATACGCTCACATTTTGTCGTTTGATTTTCAACAGATATACCCAAGAGTTTGATTATTAGTAAACATTCCTTGTTTTACGAACTAATCGATGTATTTTGAATCAATTAATTTTGAAACAAATTCCTGGATTTGTTGATTGTTTATTTTTACGAGTTAAACATTGTTTTGTTTTCTACAATATATTAAAGCTAAATGGATAAATAAGTAGACTGGAAGCGGACAGTGTATGTATGTACCGTGTCATACATATTAACAATTACACTTTATTTCTTATGTGTATGACATTGTACACACACATATATTGCTCCTATATGACATGTGGTATCTCTAGTCACAAGAGGATTATTATGATATTCAGAATATTAATTTATTTATTTTTATGTTTATTGAAAATTTAATATAATAAGAAAATACACGTTTGTAAATATTTTAAATGCTAACCAAACAACCCTGCATATGAAGTTAAATTGAAATCTTATCAAATTATGAAATGTTGAGTTTGCTTTACAAAAAGCATCTGCTTTTATCTGGCAAAATTACTACAGGGTTTTACTATTGAGGACAAAAATATATCAAAATTGGCTTAGAATTGAGGAAAATAAAACGACAGAAATCTTCTTTTAAAATTGCTAAAAAATCACGTAGTACTATTTATTTGAATTTAGATCTTATAATTTAGAATTTCGGGATATGCCCGTTCAGATGTTTAAGCGTGATTGAATAACAAACATCCAAACATAAAAATCTGAACATACAAACATCTTTAGAAACCTTTAATTTTAACCTTTTTTTACGTTTACAATATAATCATAATAGTATTAACCGGTACTCACATATACTTTCCGTACTTACCTGTATTCTGGATGAGGTATAATCAAAGACAGCGGCTCCTTAGACTTAGTGGACGAAATATCAGTAAAACCAACTACGACTGATAACTGCTTAGTTTTGTAGAACTCATCAAAGGCACTGAAATTTAAAAGTACCTAAGAAATGTATACATGTTTGTGTATAGGGTGATTTCATCCTGTATCAAAACATATGATATGTGTATATAATTTAGATTTCTAAATAATCAGTAATTTATCTCACTTATATGATTAAATTATGTTCAAATAATGCCCTATTGCTCCTAAGATGGGCTAATTATTTCACGATACACATATTGCAGAATTTTAAATAGATAAAAGCAATTAAGGAATTGGTACCATGATTAGGATTGCAACAGTTTTCTTTTAATAATGAAAAAAAGGTCCATGTAATATTTGTCCTTCTCTTAAAGAACCGCGCTTACCTACAAATACAATGTCCGGCGGTAAGCAGCCATCTGTCAGTCAAAACTGTGGCTCCGCATTGGTGTGCTCCCTGACGCCAAATGCTGGCTGCCCAGGGAAATTCTGCCGGTAGACTGTCTTCACCACCAACTATACGGCCCCGACGAGCGGGACTTACACCGCATTCGATGTTAGATACTGAAATATTATCTGACTGGTAAATCAAAAAGACGAATTTGCGAAACCGCCAGCAAACTTTCAATAATGAGAAGGCACCTGAAGAATAAGAATAATTAAAAAATAGGTCTCGCAATGACAAAATATTAGTAAGTATTTTATTACCAAGACAATAAACTTAGAAAATGTGTTAAAATAATTTTATTTGGGGATACACAGGACTACAGTTAAGTTAAATGCTGTGTGGTCCCGCCATAGAATAGGCCACCCTTTCCCGTAGGCATCGTAAGAGGCGACTAAGGGAGGGCGAGGGATAAGCGGCAGTGTTTCTTTTAAAACATCTCCAAAGCCTAACTGCGTTTACCAATCCGACTGTCAAGCATGCTACTAGCAAAACCCTCAAGGGGAAGGCTTATGTTCGGCAGTGGACAGTTAACGGCTGATATAATTATAATGAGATTTATATTTAAATTAAACAAACTAGCTTTTCTTGTTTAGATTGGTTAATTCATGTTTCTGTATTACGAAATAAATAGTAGTACGAATAAGTAGTAGTAGAATAGTAAGTACCACATAATCACAACAATTCCCTGGTCTTCAAGCTAGGATACTCTGCATTATAAGAAACTAGGCACAGACCATCTTGAGGTACAAGCTATAACACATAAACTTAAATCAATTCAGCCAATTATATTCCCTAAATTGGCTTTATTGGGAATCGAACCTGGTAACTCGTTTACACAAAGCAGCGTGCACATCACTGCGCTACAGAAGCTATTAATGATCGATATTAAAATCACTGGTGTCCCTTTTAGAAGGAATAATATTTTTTTTTATTTTATCTGTATAAATTAAATTTTGCCAACTAATTCCTTCAATCTCCACAAACTAGATATATATTATTATGTTGTTATTAATGTTGCTGATATTAATGTTGTTATCTATTAATATATTTATTTAATTTATAAATTATTTTTGTCAGATCAATGCACCGCCATTTACTCTCTGTTTAACGTAACGGTTGACTGGTAGAGAATGCCATCAGGCATTAAGTAAATGTGTATAAAAGTATAAATAAATACATTTCATTAATTATTGTATAGTTAGTTATTCTATGCTGGAAGTATAGTGCAGCAGTTTTAACCCTGCTTTCTATACAGCATTTCAGAGATCGAAGTATCACCCTTTGACTGTTGATTAGAAGTCTTTACTGCCCCCGTAGCAAGTTACAAAATAATCTATTGATAGAATTGTTATCATTAGCAAATACATGAGATATAATGTATACTGTCTTCTTCTTTCTCATAAATGAAGCGTTTCTATTAAATTCATTACTACTTTGCGTTGGGGCATAGACGACTCTTCTTCGGCTGTCTATCTTCAGAAACTATCGTGGTTAATTCCTGAAATCCTGATGAATTCATCATGATGGGCTAACGGGCCTGTTTTCATTTTCATCTATCACCCTTCACTGGTGCTCCGCCAGCGTATCCCGTTAGCGCAGGCGGGGTTACCATACCATTTCATCCACCAAAAAAATACATATATGTGTGAAAAAATAAAATGTAGGTATGTAATGTTTTTTTTTATTCATAGGTATTTGATAATATAATCCGTTGTGTGATTCCGACATAGAATGGGGCTCCCTTTTTTGTCCCATGGGTGTCGTAAGAAGTGGCTAAGGGAACTTAATAATCGAGGGATGGGCAGCAGCGTCCTTAAAACCCCACAAAATCGAACTGCGGTTGCCAACCCGCCTACCAAGCTTGGCACCTATTGGCAAAACTACCCTTGTGGAGGGGCCTATCTCTAGCAATGCTTTGTTTATGGTTAATATAATAATAATATATAACAATATAAAAAATAAAGATAAATAATCTAATATATAAAATTCTCATATCGCGGTGTTTGTTACCAAACTCCTCCGAAACGGCTTTACCGATTTTTATGAAATTTGGTGTGCATATAGGGTATGTCTGAGAATCGGCCAACATCTATTTTTCATACCTCTCAATGAAAAGGGTAACCCATCCCTAAATTTTTTTTTTATTTTATTGACAAATTTTTTTATTTTTATTTTATTATGATTTAGCATTGAAAAATACATACAAATTCCAATTTTTATCCATTTACGATCAACCGCTGTTTTTTAGTCGCGATTTTTATATTCTGCAATAGGGTTGCAAGATGGCAATATTTTCTACATTTAATGTATATGGTAAAACAACGTTTGCCGGATCAGCTAGTAAATATATAATATTCATACTATTTCAAGCATTATCGGATAACGAGAATTACTCAGATACCAGTATCGGATAAAATAACTGGAGACGGAAAGAAGATGTCGAGATTATTAAAGTGAATAGGAAATAACGTTTCCAAGTATTTTAAATAAAGAACGTAGTTGCAGATTGAATGACAATTTACTTAGAGTAGATCTAATATCAAAGAGCAAAACGTATTTATCTATGTATTTAAACCTTCACATCCTATTTATACGACTGGTATAAATATTATACCACTGCCATGATTTTGGTTAAATATTACTAGTATCTTAATATCTTATTCTTAATAATATAGTTACTTGATGATTTTTATATTTACATGTCTTAATAAAATCAATAACTGTTAAAACAATGTTTTTAATTATTTTTGTCTGCTTGTCTGTCGGTCTGTCTGTATATTTGTTCCAGTATTAACGTTTAGTATTACGCACGCGTTGCCGACCCTGAAGAAACCTCTTTACCCCCCCCCCCCCCCCCTTTGAAGAACCTCATGCTGTAGCTGTGGGAAAACCTCGGCATGGAGCTTCGTGGGAGAAAACATCTCTGAAACCGTGTTGTGCGCGACCATTTAGGCTGTAAGGTATGAGGGTGAACTCCCTGTCGATGGCGAGCCGTACGACGATAGAAAGTGGCCGCGGGCATCATATTGAATAATTCCTCTGAGCACAATCCGCTGTACAAGCGGTAGAACACGCACACAAATTAACAATATATTTTTGTTATTACATCCTAGTTCTTTATCGATTTATTTTGAAAATATGTGACTTACTTTTACTAGAGTTCTTACTTTCACTGAAATAGTTTCCTCAGTAATATAAGTAAAGTTTAACATTTTTTTATTTAAATGTATTAAGAAATTTTGCTTACCTTAGATATATTTTTAAAATGTAAAAGTGGAATGGTATACGTTGGCGAGGCACCGGTGAGGAGTGATAAGTTAGAATGAAAGCAGGTTAGTTAGTTAGTTAGTTCCCCTTGTAAACCATCGTGATGAATTTGACAAATTACGATAGTTTCCAGGGATAACTGCATAGAGCTCCACCTGACAAGCTACATTACCAGCAATAGGGCTATTAGACTCCATTACTAACAATCTCTTTCCCCCTTACTTGAGTATATTAGCTCCATCAAACTATAAACGGATTTCTCGTAAAAAAATATCTATTTTGCATACCCATAGAAAGAGAGAACTTGAACATTAATAGGCACCAATAATTTTCAATTTTTTTAACATCTAGTTAAAAAAAAGATAATATCACGTTATTAATTTAGTGCATACGCATTTCTAAAGTTTACTAGTTTAATTGGTATTTTTTTATGCAACTTAGAATGGCATACAAGCTGACGGCCCACCTGATGGAAAGTAGTAACCATCGCCTATAGCTTATTATATTATTGTTTTAACATCAATAGACGATATGCCCTCGGGGTCACATCAACTCATATAATGATGATTGGAAAATTATAAAGGACTCTCCAAGGAAATAGCGTGTTGATTATATACTTTCCAAATGTTTCCTATATTTCTACTTGTGTGAAGGTGTCGCCCTCTGGTGTTATAATCCAATAGCTTTTAACTGCGTTAGAATATGCTTACTGATTGCAATAAAAAGTAGCCTATTGTATATATATATATATATATATATATATATATATATATATATATATATATATATATATATATATATATATATATATATATATATACTATTGTATAATATATATATATATATATATATATATATATATATATATATATATATATATATATATATATATATATATATATATATATATATATATATATATATATATATATATATATATATATATATATATATATATATATATATATATATATGCTATAATATATATATATTAAATTTCATTGTAGTTCGTCAAATTGTTATAGCGCCAAGAGGTAAAGAATTAATAAATAAACAAATTTAGTAATTAATATTTACTGGGAAAAAATAGCATTAATGATTTAGTTTCGTATGAAATGTTCAGTTATAATAATAATATGCATTTCATTAGTCAAATGTTCTAACTAGAAATGCAATTAGTAAATTACTAAATAATTGCTACTCAATTTCAATCGCATTCAAATATTTAACGCACTGTTATAACACGATAGGAACACGAAATTTTTAGAATTCTTTTAAGACAGTTATTTTAAAAAGTTTCCCAAATGAAAATCATAGGTCAGAAAATGAAAACAAAAAAATCGTAGCTTACGTACATGGTAATATTCCCAAAAAAAAAAAATCATAGGTCATAAAATGAAAAAATAAATTTGCGTAGCTTCCTTACATGGCACTTTCAGGTATTGAGTTAGTACGAAAGGCTTTAAGTATTTTGTATTTTTTCTGTATATAATTCTTTGAGAAAAATGTTCAGTTTTATTGAGAGAATATTAATTTGAAAGAATATTAATGATTTCAGTTTTCTCTATGTATTGCAAACTTTTTATTTATATAAGTAAAAATCAATTGACGAATGCACGTAAGCACAGTAATTCAACACGGCGGCATCTATTTGGCTTATTCTTTTTTATTGTATTTGTAATTGTCAGAACAAGGTTTGTATGAAAGAAAATGTGTGAACTAGGGAAAAAATACATTTGAGCAAAGCTGGGACAGGTAGCTAGTTTTATATAAATAATAATGAAATTCTGATCATTGGTAAATGCATAACTTTAGAGAGAATTATTTATTTTAGGATTTGTAATTTTTAGAGTAAAAAAAAAAATTTGAATTTTGGTCAGGACAGTGTGTACTATCTATGTTTTCTAAACTTCGTATCTTGGCCATGTACTTAGATACGATAGATATCACCTTTAACACGTGATTATGATGAACCAAATTACTGGTAGGAGAAGGGTGAGTCGCAGAAAAAAGTATTAGCTTGGTTGAGTGCAGCCGAATTATTTCATCTCATAAGAGACATGGACAGATTCTGTGAGAAGATAGCTAACCTAAGTTGGAGTAGCACTATAAGAAGATGAAGAGTCTATCAAGAAGCTAACCTGATATGTATGATAAAGTATAAATAAAAATAATACTTACAATTAATAAAACAAAATCCATAATTTGAATACAACAAAAACACAACCATCACAAACAAACGACACATTTTCACGGCAACTAATTATTATCTGTAGATGATGACACTTGTATCGTTGTATTTATATTTCCTCAATACTAACTAGGTCTAGGATAAATTAAATAAATAAATAAATGTATATATATATATATAAAACCTAAAATTATTATATATAAAAATAAATTTGTCAGTGCACACACCCCTGACTAAGTGTGTGCACCAACTGCTTAACAAGGAATGTACTTTAAGGATATATAAAGATCTAATAACTTGTACTAAAATGACCCTCCTTCGTCGCTTTGAAGGTCTGACCCCTATATTTCAAGTTAGTGATGTGACCGCACAGCAGATGCAGACTCGATATTAGCAAAAAGCATTCTTATTTATTTTATATAAATAATTTTCTTTTTATAGTTCTTATTATTACAATTATTTATAATCAATTTAAAAAACACAGAAACTCTTTGATACGTTTTTGTTATGATATGTTATTTTATGTACTTGTGAATGATATTCATAGAAAAGCTAAACAATACTTTGCATGACATTATGGTCTCTTTTTTTTATATATTAAAAAATTTGTTTTTGACTTGAAGTAATTCTCATATTTTGTTTATTCACTTCTCTTTATTTTGTATATATTTTTATAATTATATTACCTCCCTAAAGGCACTGTGTTTTCAAACAACTTACAATACTTCCGCCCACAAATACAATCTGTTACTTCATTAAAATTAATTTACCACGCTGTTAATATTAATTATATAGGTAATGATTATAATAATAGGTTAGACACAAAGATCTATAATCTAAAATTTATATAATCACATTGTTTAATTACTAATAAACAATGGAGTAATAGGTGATTTTCACTTATTTCATTAATACCTAAAGCACGTGCGTATGTTTACATCTCATAAAAACAATCTCGACAAAATTCATTGCCCTCTAATTTAAGAATATTTATTTTCATATTATGTAGGTCAATGTTGAACTAATTTACATTTGTATATTGTGATGATACGCATACATTATATTTTTGAATTATCAACAATCACCTTTGCCACAGCCTTCGTTTATACTTTAAAAGACGTTTTGTCATATAAATATAGATTATATGAACAATGTGTGAAGTTTTTATTACTTAATTCCTTGTATAGGCACATTATTATGATAAATAGTAATTGTAGATGCTAATATATTCATCTGATCTTTTTGGAGTTCCGTACTTTGGAATGTAGACTTTATTGTATTGAATCGCTGTAGAAACACTTGCAATTTTTTATATGGTAAACAGACTGCCCCCCTGAAGGAAAATGGTAACTGTCGTCTATAGAAAGCACCATGGATGTTACTATAAATCAGTATAGACTATAACAAAGATGATATTCTTTATAGATTTTTGAGGAGCACGGTATTGCTGTTTTGCCATAGAAACACAAGTTGGACAGACTCAAGCTGACAATATTTGTACAAAGTAATTACAGAAAAATATTTAGCAGAAATGAATATTTTAAGTTATCACTATCTTATCTAATTGTCTATTTTTATACTAAATATATACGATATTATCTATAGATCTTAATTGTAAGACATCTTAATCTTCGATACAAGAGACATCATCTTCGTCCTCAGAAAAGACAATATTTGAAGGAAGCTATGGATACACTTACTACTTCTATTCTCTACATTTTCTTGTTTAAGGCGTTAAAAATAAATACTGTAAATGATAATTTTCTAGATTACAAACTAACAATACTTATTATTGTCATTATCATTTACTTTTAGTTTCGTCAAGTTCCTATGTCACTTTAAAGGAAATACAATATAATAATCAAATATACTAAAAACTATTTTAAGTATGCAGATGACATTGTATAATAGTTCCTAATAAAAAAAAATATCGAGGTCGATAAAATGTTATGTGTATTTGTATGCACAACACTAGCTCTATTTCATTGTCAGGTTCACCCAACCTCGGCCGATAAGAGCCGATAACAGAAGCGGAACTCGCAGGTTGTCATCCGCCAATAATACATGGGTATTATCGAAATATTTCTATGCAATGCCAAATGAGACATAAGTTATGGTGACTATGATTTATGGTTTATCCGCTCGGATAAATGGAAACTTTATATACGAGTAATAACAGAGTCCAAGGTTTATATAACAGTCTGTGGGAAGACTCACTGACAAAATATGTGGTTGTTAATTTTTGTTAAATTGTCTGTTTATCTGTCTTATGCAAAACGGCTGAACCAATACTGATCTCAGAAAATCACAAACAAAAATACTGTTTATTCTCTCAGTAATAAGTATGCATCTAGTCCTTTCTCAAGCGAACGTCCACCTCTTCCTTTTCCATGGGTATCTTAAAAGGTGATTAAAGGAGTTTAACCCTTCTTTGTATAATGATGGAAATTTCTATCATAACATTGAACGCCCAAAAATTATATAAAAAAACAAGTTCACAGACACGATCAACTTAAAGTTGATCGTGTCTGAATACCTTTTAAATATCCATTGCAGAAAAAAAAAACATAGCTGTCACATTTTTTTACCCATTTTTCCTTTAATTTTGAATATGAATTATATCACCTTCATTTATTTCACCAATAAAAAAATCATGCAAATAAGGGTTAACAGTCGAGGGATGAGCAGCAGCGTCCCTCTTAGAACATGACAAAAGCTTAACTGCCGTTGCCTATCCGCCTGCCAAGCATATTGACTACAGGCAAAACCTTCTTTTGGGGAAGGTTTATGTTTAGCAGTGGACAGTAGACGGCTGATATAATGATGATGATAAAGTAATTAACACAATAAAATAATTAGAAACATAGCAAAAACTATTAAAAGTGCCAAGAATTGTTTGAAAATTTCCACATTTTATTAGAAACTTCCGAAAATTCAATGAATCCATGGTCGCCTCAGCGTAATGAGTGATCATTGATTGCGCTTTAGTTGGTCAAGTGTACACATAATTGGAACAGAAGCGTCTTGTCCCACTTATTTTCGAAATGTTCAGTACGAATGCACTATTGGAGAAGTACTAATTAAGGGTACTCATAAAACTAGATATCTACTTACTTCGATATGATTACGAATTAAAACTAAATATTAACAAAAGGAGAAGGTTTATATTAGGATTATTAGCAGTGCATATTAGCGTCCTTATTGCTAGCAGTATAAAGTATTTTTTTGGGATGATAAGGGAACGGTAATAAATTCTACAAGAATCAACCACGATGCTTTCCAGGGGGGACCACGTGGAGGTGGATCTGACACAGTATATTGCTAGTAACGGAGCTGGTAAATCCCTATTACTAACAATTCGTTTCTTCCCTATAAAGTATATTACCAGGTATAGTACCAGGTCGACCTTTACTCGGTTCGCCCTGGAAATGATCATGAGTAATTCTTGAATTCGTCACGATGGGCTAACTGACCTGCTTTCATCCTCACCTATCATCTCTGATTGATATCCCGACGGCGTATATTTGCCGCGAGTGGAGCTACCGTTCCATTTTTACTTATAAAAAAATATTATTAAATATTTCACACGCTTTTCTGTTGTTAAACAATTGTGCTTGCATGGCTGAGTTTAGATTTGAAGGGTGTATCCCACCCTGGGATACACCCTTCAAATCTGGCAATAAAATTACAGTGTATGAAGGTATAACATCGTAGTCCTCAGGAATGGCAACGCACGTTAAGCGGTACAATTTTTGCGCATTTACAATTACACTCAATGTTACGTTCACGAAATCCAAGGAGATATTCCTTTTCGGAATAAGTCAGCTTTTTTGTTCTGAACCTTGACTATCCTTTATGATTTTTTATATAAATAGCTAGAAATGGAAGAGTAGTGGTGTACACTGACTGTTCACCAGTAAAATGAGAGATGATATGAGGAAAGCGGATCAGTTAACCCATCGTGACGAATTCAAGAAGTAACCACTATAGTTTCCTTGGGGGAACCGCATGGAAGTCGACAAAACAGGGTATATTAATCTGCTAGACCCTTTTACTAACAATCGCTCCCTGTTTATTATGTTATATTTTAATGTATACAATAAAGACTTTTAAACCAATACTATACCGAGCTTCTGAGCAGCATTTTTAATTGTTACAAGTTGAGAATAGGACTGTTTGCAAAGAGTGACCATGTTTCCAGCAGAAGACATCCCATTGCGTGTAAAAGGATAGTTAGTTCTATTATTTGTTTTTATACCTATTATGTTTGAGCTTTACCTATTTCTACACTGACGCAGATTTTAATAACATTTTTAAGATTCTAGGTTCAATTTTTACCACAAAGTATTTTTTTTATACAACTTAGAATAACAAACAAGTTAACGTTCCATCTAATAGAAAGTGGTAACCGTCGCCTATAGACATGACAGAGCAGTACCATGGACATAACAGAGTATACTGTTTCGCCCATGATACCCCCCATGCGTTGCCATTCCTAAGGACTAAATCCTTCAAGTATTATTCCTCTGTACCCTGTAAATTCACACCATATCCCACCCTTCAAATCGAAACACAGCCATGTAAATATAATTGCTTCACGGTAGAAACACGAATGGAACAGAGGTACCCAAGCAATCGACTTTTGTACAAACTCTTCCTCTAGTTTTAAATAATTTACTTAAATGTTTTGATAGTGCACAATAGTGCATATATATTAAGTAAAGATTATAAATATCGTCATTAAATCAAGATGATTTAATGACAACTAAGCTTTGGAGCAAATATTCTCAGCAAAATGTAGACAAATAATAAAGGAATCTGTGGACGCAGTACAAGTGTATTCTAAAGATAAAATCCCAATTATACCAAGTGCCAGTAATCTCCAGCGTCAATAAAAATAATGAACGTATTATGATAGAATAAAAAAAAACATTTCTACAAATTGTCATCATGTTTAGATAGAGCAATACGTTCCAAATTGTCCGGGATATATTAAAGCCGTTCGAATACTGATTATTTTATGTTATGGTATTATGTTGCTGTGTGGTCCTACTATAGAATGAACTA